CAGACTGCACCTGCACGCCAAAAACTAAAGGACACTCCCCGCCTTTGACGAGTCGTCCGTCCCGCTGTCCACTTCTCAGTACCCTGCAACGTGTAAATTTGGGAAGTGGAGCATTCAATTCTCCAGTACACATATGTCTGGCGAGTTTGATGGGCAGTTAACTGGCCCGTTACTTTTCAGAACTCGACCCACAGCACTGTCTATACTATGCCTTGCAATTCGGGAGGAGCGTGTGGGCAATCCCTTCTGCTCTTTTGTGTTCTTTCAGTACGCTGCTTTGATGTACAGCACGGTTATGCGGCTGTCGATTCCAGGCGAATGTTTATATCATCTTTCCCTTGTTCGTTGCACCTATCAGCCCCAGTAGTTAGTATTTAAATGAGGCGTCTTGGGCACATAGAAGCAAACCAACGTGCACACGCACACAGCAAACTGTTCACTAGCTATGGGATATATATCTGCCGTCATCATGCGGTGAGCACAAAATAATGAGCCTAGGACAGCAAAACAGATACTGGAAAAGACAGGAAAAGTAATGTAGTGTTCCTCATGGGCTGCTGCAGAATTTTCTGAGGAGACAGCCGCTGAGGTATTTGAAGCGTTCCGCGTGAGCCCAAGTTAAAATGGAGAAAGGCACCGAGCACGGACACACACAAGCTGGAACTTGCGCTGTAGGTGCCACTGCCGCTGCTGCTGCTACTGTTACTCGTAGGGGTGCTGCTGCAGGGCGCAATATCTGTTAATTGCTCTCCGGAAGGCTCATAATTTTGTTAGGAGTGGCTTTGTGGCAACTGCATTGCGCACTGCATACTGCATAGTGCTGGCGTCGATTAGCTGTTGAATGACGTTGATATGCAACAACTGTCTTCCCCACTGTGCGGTGTGTGTGTAACCTGGGAGTTCGAGATTTGTGTTTATTCTTCTACTCCGCCTGATGCACGGGCTAAAGGAAGCAGCTACTGAAGGAGCAACTCCATAAAAAAAATACGCATGAANCTCCGCCTGATGCACGGGCTAAAGGAAGCAGCTACTGAAGGAGCAACTCCATAAAAAAAATACGCATGAAGAGAAACACAGACAGTCTCTCCCGCATGTAGGGACGAAGAGGCCCCACAAACAAAGCACGGAGCACCGCAATGCCAGCGAACCCAAAGATCAGACAAAAGGAGACGGATATATAGTGGAATAAAGAAACCACAGAAAAGCTGATGAAAGGGAGGAGGAACAGCAAAGCAAAACGAAAGAAGAGGAAATGATGAGTTGAAAGCACCGTCAATCAACTGCACCGTCAGTTCCCTCGTGACGGAAGGGGGTTGTGCACTGTGCGGATCATCCTGTACAAAACAAAGAAAAGACGAACGCAGTAGAGCGATTGTACCCAGTAAAGCAACAAATAGCCACGAGCCAAAGGAGGTGAGACTTTGAGCGTTCGCATTTCGCTCTTGGTTTTAGCACATGCATTATATATGCGGTCATTTCACGTTCTTGCGGATGTATATCACGGAACTATGAAGACCTACTATGNGGTAATTGTTCGCTACACGAAGTCGGCCACGCGTTCATACAAAACATAGTGTATACTGTAATATATATATTACATTATGCTACTATATATCTATACTGTTGAAGTACCTCTTCAGGCGCCGCACACAGCTGGCCAATCGCTCGTCCAGCACCGGAGCCTCTCCTCTGAAGCGAAGCGCTAGGCTTGCCTGGGCATTTTGGGCCCGCCCGACGTATTCTTGTAGCAGCTGAGGTGTGAATACACCACAACCAAAGCAAAGACAAAATACAAGCAAAGTGATCCTTCGGTGCACTTCTCTCGATATGTGTATCCGTCGCGTCCCTCCCCAACACTTCTCAACTCCAACACGCACACGGAAACGAACAGAAAAGCAGGAAAACAGATGCAAACGGACAGACAACCGGAAACAGCAGGAACAGGGACGCCGACCAGAAGGGGGAAGAGGCAGAGGTAAACAAGAAAAGGCGACAAAGACGACGTAAACAGAAAGAAACAGTAGCGAAGTCCATCCAAATGCTACCGACAGGCACAGACGGAGAGCTGAAAAAACCAGTGAAACGAAAATCAGATAAAATTCCGGGAAAAGATTTCCACCTCCCGTTCTGTAGACTGAACAGTACGAGAAGCTCAGAAAGGAGAAATACAGAAACACCCACATACAAGGCACAGATAACGGCTCAAGCACTGGGAGAGCACTAACAACAAGCACGACAACAACGAAACACCTACTGAACAAGACTAAATATGAAACAACCCCAAGTAGAAGCAACGCCAAATACGTACATCCATAAGCTCCAAACGTGTTACATGTTCGTTGGGCGAATCCATTTGGTTGAATGTTTCCAACAACCAATGCGCCCTGTCCTCCAGCGTCTGCAGATCTGCTGTTTCTGCTTCGTGAGAAAACAAGTCGCCCAGCACTGCAACATAACAACAGAGAACGGATCCCCCCAACCCGCCCCAAAAAAACAAGCTGTCATACAAACAAATGCAGAATATAATAAACGGATAAACACCGGCAGCCACACACAGAGAGAAGAAAGGCACAGAAACGCGCTATATGAACCATACACCGGAGCAACAAGACAGCAGCAACATAAACACAGATAACACGATGGTAGGCAGACAAGCAAAACGACGACAAAAACAGAAATAAAGGCTTAAACCAAAAGAACTTCCGACAACACCAACACCCACTGACGCAGCAGCAGCAATAACAACTTCCAGCGCAGTAGCAACAACCGTTACTATAACATCCGCAGCACCGCCCTCAGCAGCAGCAGCCTCAGCAATCATAGAAGCAGCAACAGCCTCAGCAGAAAACACAGCAGCAGTCTCAACCGCAAAATCAGCAGCAGCAGCAAAAGCATCAGTAGCAGGTAGATTGTTAGCACCTTTTGCGATGCCGAAGAGTGTTGCCTGGGTGAGTAGTGGGGGGTCCTGATCGAATACTTTCTCAGGACTCAACTGCCTGCAGAGGATATCAACCCAAAATCCTTTCGCTGCTTGTAAGTCCGCCGCTATTGCCAGGCCAAATGCTCCATCAACATTACCCGCCTCGATCATGGCCTTCAGGCGCGCTGAAAACTGCGCAGAGCTTTCTCTCTGAGCAGCAGCAGNGCTGCTTGAGAAGATATAGCGGATAGCGTACTTGAAACCCTTTCTAGCTCTGCCTTTACCTGCTTTTGATACTCGAGGAATTCCAGCTGCCGCCCCTGCTGCCGCTGCACTTCCTGCTCCACCATCACCAGCAGCTGCTGCTGCTGGCGCAGCTGGTCCACGTTTTGCCTTGCATCCTCACGCAAATCCCGCAGCTGAAGACGTAAACCTGACAGCCCCTTCTCTGTCATCTCGAGATTCTGCAGATACACCCCAAACCCTGAATTCAAAACTCTAAACCCTAAGCCCTCAGCCCTAAAGATTCACCTACAGAGGCCTAAGCAGGGGGATGTTCAGAGCAGCCAACATATACAGCTCCGTTCCTTCAGCAACAACGATGAACCCATCCTAAACCCTAAGCCCTCGACCTCAGACCCTAAACCCTAGGTTCTAAACCCTACACCTTAAACCCATACACAAAATGAAACATATCCCAACAGGATGCAAACGAGTGGACTGAACAAGAGGCAGACGGCCAGCGCATCGCGCCACAAGAGCTTAGGTAGAGAAGAGGCTTCAGCTGTCCCACATATCAATATATAATACACACACCAAAACCATACAGGAGACAAACAGCAAAAGAAGCAGCAATTCAAGGGAGACAAACAACGGGAGACAAGTTAGTAGACCGCAAGCAGGAGACGAAGAAACACATAACAAGGAAAACAGATAAGGCCAGGGGAGACAAGAAACAAAGAGGCAAACACACAGGGAGACAAAGCAGAGGAGGACACGAACAAGAAACAAACAAAAAGTACACAAAGAAACATGCAGACGAGCAACGCATATTGGATGATGTTGCCGCACCTTGGCCATCAACCCCTCCTGCGTTTTCAACATTTTTTCCACTGCCTCTCTCAGCTTCCCATTTGCGGCGTTATCTGCAGGCACTTGACGCTGCTGCTGCAGCATCTGCAACTGCCGCATCACTTGTTGCTGCTGCTGGCTTTGCTGCTGCAGCTGGCTGTTCATCTTCTGTAGCTGCTGCTGTACAGGAAGTAGCTGTTGCTGCATGTGGTGCTGCAGCTGCTGCTGCAGCTGCTGCTGCAGCTGCTGCTGCAGCTGCCGCCGATGGCTATCGACGGCGTTGCTAAATGCCTTCATTTGCTTCCGTATCTGCTCTTCGATATCAGAGAGCATTTCGGTCTTTACCGCCTGTAGCTCCTTAACTAGCGTGAGCTGTTGCGTTGCAGCAGATGTTTCCTGTGTGCCAGCACGGGCCTGCGTGCCGCAGCAGAGCAGACAAACACCAGCATAAAGTTAAACCTATAGAAAACAAAAACAACTGAATCGGTGTTCAAGCACAAAAATAAAACGGTGATAAAAACACCGTCCAGGAACATAACCCCCAAGGGTTACAACAGTCCACTGCTGAACTAACTGTAGCAGCAGAAGCCACATCAGCGGCGGCAGCAGCAACGGAGAATCAACAAACAACACCAGCAGCATCAGAAACACCACAACGTGCAGAAACAGCACCAGCATTGTTGGTGGAATTCTGTAAATTGTGTTTGACTATTTTTTGTGAGAAGAGATTGGATGTGTCCACGAGTCGATATGTCGCTAGTTTGTGAATTATAGTAAAAAAGCATAGTTAAAGTGAATTTCAATCTCATAAACAACTTAATAT